CTGGCAGTGGTCGAATTGAGGGGGGGTGAGGGGGATGCCATCCCCTTTGTTAGAAAATTGACCAAAAAGCATCCCCCTTGTTAATCTAGAATCTGTGTGTGCAGGCACGGACGTAATTTGAGAGGGGGACGCAGTGGACATGTCCACCGCGCTTCCCGTATCTGTGCCCTCCGCCCCCCGCACTTTTTACAGCCGTTACCACCGTCCAATTCGTTTTTAACATGTGGTAACGTGTTTTTCCGAGCCATCTTTAAACGCACCGTGAGAAGGCGCATACACACGCTGTCATGTTGTGATCAGAGTCAATCCACACAGACGAGACGTGTGCTGCTGGGCAGTGCTGGTGAGTGTTAACTATGTTCAGCAAAGCAGCCGGGAAGAAGCAAAAAACTTGCACAGTTTCTTCCAAACAAACTGTGTAAGTTGAGTAATGCTGTTGCATGTAGATAATGTTAGCTAAATGATGACTAATTAATAGATGCCAATATATCAAGTTAAGATAGTTAACAAGAACACTAACGTTTATGTTATTGTTACCTATGTTAAATACCTTGCTAGCTAGTTTCATGCTAGGAATAAACCCACTCCTCCTTAATAAGAACTTGTGCTCACTATTGCTTTGCACATATTTTTTTAATCTTTATTGCCACAATATAAAGAGCAGGGTCAGGGAGGAGACAGTGGACCAGAGGCCAGCAAGGATGATTATGCAGGGTCTTCACAGGAGAGATTATAACTGGCTGAGAGAAAATATCTATAGCATAAAAGTGACTGTGACATTTCCACAGCTATGTCACCACTACTATTCTTAATTCTATTTCTAAATTTTGCTTTGCACATTTATTATCTATATTATTGCAATAGATAGAAGGGGGACAGGGAGAAACCAGGCAGGTATCAGGACAGGGACCTGACAACAGCACCAATTATTAGCCCAAGGTTTCACAGGTAAGGAGAAATTATAACTGGCTAAGGAAACGTCTATAGCATAAGAGTGACTCTAAGATTAATTTTCACAGCTATTTCAGAACTACTCTTATTTAAACTCTAAAATGTTTTTTGTCTGTATTGCAATAGCAATACTACTGCATTATTTGTGTTATTAAAAGCAGCAGGTATAGGTCATGCCATTTTTCTTTATCTTGATTAATTTTGCACATCTGTGCTGTCATATTTGATGATGTGTACAGCAAAAAAATCAAAGCTACATTGCATCCCCCTTGTTAAAAATTAACAATTCGACCACTGACTACTGGTATCTCTTTAAGATTTAATCATGGAGCTTATTTGATGAAGAAGATAATTTAGGTTATACAGTTCCTTTAGATTATATGAAACTATTCTCCTGTGACTGACTGTATCTCCCAGACTGTTAAAGTTAGAGCCACCTGACACTGACTAATAATTTGAATCCAGCTGAACATAAAGAGTAATCCCAAAGAAGGGAAGATGGGAGAGAGGCTCCCGTAATTCAGTAATTCTAGAAAAGAAATTAATAATTGGATTGTCAGGTTTTGCAGGAGGATTTGGATAAAACCACAAACAAGCCAAAGCTACTTTGTTATTAAGATTAGCAATAATTTGTCCCTCCAGTTATTCTCTATTAAATTCAGGTTATCATATCCCTATGTGCGCGGCACGGTGGTGTGGTGGTTAGCACTGTCGCCACTCAGCAAGAGGGTTCCTGGTTTGATCCCAGGAGGGAGCCCTTCTGTGCGGAGTTTGCATGTTCTCCCTGTGTCAGCGTGGATTTTCTGCGGGTACTCCGGCTTCTTCCCACAACCCAAAGACATGCAGGTTAATTGGTGTCTCTAAATTGTCCGTAGGTGTGAATGTGAGTGTGAATGGTTGTCTGTTTCTATGCGTCAGGATATCGCTATGTGACAGCACATCTGGTGTTATAAGATAAATAATAATAGTAAACGTCTTGCACAGCCAGACCTCCCTTATGGTTTGACACTTAAGTGTCTTTAGGCATTTTTTTAGGTTTCATAAAAAGGTTGCAGACAAAGATTTGAACTCCTTGAACCAGCTTGAGGAAAACAGTACGGGTATGTTTAACATGATGAATGACTAGGGAGAGTATTCATCTTCAGCACCTCAGCCCTCACCCCTCTAAAATCCTAATCCTAATAAGAATATTTACTCCTCATGAGAGAGATAAGTGACAGAGTGCACACTGTAGATTTTAAGTTATTCATCTTATGATACATATCAACTGGTAAATCACTGCAAATGACAAACATCAGTGCAGATGTCGTCAATGTTTTTAGTCTGAGGACCCCTTAGCTGAAAGAGAGACAGAGCAGGAACCCCCTACTATATATAGTGTATAAAACTGAGTTGCATATTAAACTGGGTGGATGGAGGTTGTCACACAGAAAGCCATAGCAGCCTCAGGCCACAGTCTTGACCTGTATTTGCTTTTTAGCTAGGTGAAGGAGGAAAATTCACTTTCACAAAGGAGTTTAGGGGATAGCATGTATGTGGAGAGATTATGACACTAACTATGGTATGAAATTACAATCTCTTAAAACATTAGATAGTGAAATACAAGAGAAGCAGCATGCAGTATAATATAATCATATCTCACATTTTTATGGTCTGATAGCATCTGTAAAGGAGGTTTTAAAGTCCACCAATTTCCTGCGAGGATAACCTTCCAAGGAAAAGAACAGAAGAAGAATGTGAATAAGGGGAAACTAAACAAGATCAGAGTAGAGATCTGATCCCTCACAACCTTTTTTTTTAATCAATCACAGAGCTGGTTGCACTTTGCTTGAAAAATTGCAAATGTTTTGAAGCTTCTGACGTGAATGAATCAACAAAAGTGTTCCAAGAGACATAGAGAAATATAAGCAGCTGTAATGTAACATGTAGATAGATGGACAGCAGAGATCCATGTCACATAAAGTGGGGAAAATGTGCTTCCAAAGGGCACCACGTGAAATGTAACACTGGGAAGAATTTGCAAATATTTTTTTATTTGAGTTTATCTGCACATGAAAGGCTTAAAAAAACAGGCACGTACCTATAACCAGTGCTTATCCACTGTCAAGACTCAGTTACCCATAACGGTATATAGGCACAGAACACAGATCAAAAAAAGATACTTCAGATCATTAATAACATACAGCATTTTCAAAGGAAAACTCCAAGGTCCCCCATTCCTCTCCCACAACACAAGTAGAGCAAAGAGACCTTTTGATATTTCGCACATGAAAGAGCACCACAGGTTTTTTTTTTAATTTATTTGAACACAAATAATTAGTCTTTCTGTATCTGAAGCACTAACGTGATTGAGGTCACACTGACACATTCATTACACAAGGGTCTGTAAAAAAATGTATAATGGACAATTTTGAGAGGGATTGAGAGGAGAAAGAAGGCAGAGGAAGAGAAGAAGGGTTAAGGTGGAATAAGCTGAATAAGATGGGGAGATAAGGTGGATTGCAGTCATCTGGAACACACTGTGATAAAAGAGCTAAACTGATAAGGACCTGATAAGGCTTGATTTCAATTTGGAGAGATGAAGACTGGTGTAGGCTTGGCAAAGACAGAGCTGCACGCAAAGACATGATGAGAAGAGAACATGCTGCATTATGGTCCGTGTTTTGATTATTTAAGGTGCTGTTTTGTTTCACTTCAGCTCACTGACATGTGATGTTGGAAAGTCCCTCCAGTGCAACAACTTTATAGTAGTACACTTTGAAAAATCAGGTTAAGAAAGGTTGAATTTACAATCAATTTATTTGTTTGTTAAAATGTAATAATTGCCAGTTCCATCAATATACAGTAGTGGCAGTAATAAATAAATGTCAGTGTTAGGATGAAGCAGGGTCATCATTCAGTATGATCTTTTATGATTCTCCTGGCCTTATGTTTGCAACATCTGGAATAAACATCCTTTAGTCAGGGTAGAGCAGCGGCTATGGTGTGTTCAGCTGAACAAACCACTCCTTGCGGAGCCTTGTGGTCTTGTTTGGTGCCGTTTCCGGATGCTCTCGATGGTCCAGGAGTAAAAATTCCTCAGTATTTGAGGGGATACTCTGATTTCCTCAGGCGCCTGAGGCTAAACAGTCTCTGCATTGTTTTTCTCACCACTGTGTCAGTATGCAACGCCCAGGTCAGACTCTCAGTGATGTGGACAGCAAGGTATTTGAAGCTATCCATCTTCTCCACTGCAGACCTGTTGATACTAATGGGGGTGTAGTTACATGGCTGGCTCCAACATCCCAACCAGATACTGCAGTTAAATCAGCCAAAAATACTATGAATATAAATCAAACTAAGGGAAGTTGCCCTTTGGGACTGTTTGAGTCATTACTTAAGTAAAAACTGTAAAATTGACAAGCAAAAGCAGAATCTACATTACATGGTTTAACATGGCTGCAGAGCACACAAACAGTATCCTCGAGTCAGACTCAGTACTTAAGAAACAAAAGAAATCTTCTAAATGTATCATATTGAACTGCAATGTGTTTTTATTGCCAATAAATTCAACATTTTCATTTAAGACTGAGACGTTTCTTTGTTTCAAAAGTTATAGTGTCATTTTATAGGAGCTACATACGACATTCAGAACATATCTATGGTTTAGCATCTGGACCAGGATTGTCTGCCCATGGCTTTCAATATGGGGGTGGATAGCCAGTGGCTAGCAGCAACAGTGCTAACTACCACAACAGTGCTGACAGAACAGATCTCAAAGCCGTACCAGAAAGGGGGTTGCAAATTTGCTTTTTCTAGGATAGTGAAGACATGATCCGCCCTACTCTCCCTCCGATAGGGCCAGTGGTTGTTTCCTTTGTTGGTTGGTCAGCGGTAACCTTTGCATGAGCAGAAGGAGAGTGACTTTATTCTCTGTTCAGGGCACCATTACTCCACTAAATCTTTAAATTCCAAATAGTTGTTTGCAGCTATAATAATACTCTGAATGTTGTAACCTGCACCTTTAAAGTGAGTACCCTAAACTGACTACTCCAACAGGCAAACAACAATTGTGTAAATATATTAAGACTCTTTATTTGACATATCACACACTCACATCCATACAAGGTTATCTTACAGAACAATTCAAAAATAAAATATGTATTTGTGAAGTGATTACTTCCTGAAGTCTTTTGATTCGTTCACTAGTCTACGGGATTGGCAGCTTCTAGTCTATATGAGTTGAAACTCTATGTGACCTTAAACAGACCGGAGAACCTGATCCAACATATTCATTTTGGCAACCGAAGGTCATGCAGGTGTTCTGTCCATATACAGATGTATCCTATACATATGCAAACTCACAGCTCTACAGAAACACTCATAGACTGAAATATGTTCAAGGAACAAAAGCTGGGGTCGCCCGGTCCGATGAATATGCTCCACTTTACATGTTATTTAAACCCTCCAAAGAATTTGGAGAACAATGAGTCATCATCCCGCATGTCTGAAAATGGGTTCTGATGACCTGAAATAAAAACAAGAATCCATTAGAACTAGATCAAGCTACTACAATAGCCAGAAAACTCTAAAAACAAAAACATGCACAATTAATAATTATAAACACCCTGTATGTACACACTGACCTGGTATGACAGGTCCAGTTTGATGGTCTGGTCCTTCCAGGCTACCAGGACCTCCTGAGCGGGTCACTGTGGTCTCTTCATTGCCTTGGCCGTCTCGAACTGTTCGCCTCTCCTCTACAGTCTGACAGACATCAAAACAGTAAAATACAACCAAGTGGTTACAAGAGGGTGAAAGTATATGATTAGTAATAAAATCAGAATAAACTGTTTGTCTCACCCCATCAGGCTTCACCACCTTGGTGACAATGACTGACTGGAAGAATGAGCGAGTCCTGGGCTGGTTTGGTGCCTGACCAGCAGGTGGCGTCAGAATCTCATCCAAGCCCCGAGATGACACTGCAGAGTCCAGATCTGGATTGGAAGGATGGGGACGGGCAATCAGTTGGAGAGCAGAGCAAAGTCATATTCTTCTTTTCTTTTACTGAAGCATTAAAAATATCGCCTACCTCTGTCTTCTTTGCGCTCCTCCTCTGGCGCTCTCTGTGGTTCTCTTCTCCAAATATCATTAAACTGTGAAGACATAGGAAAGTTGATACATATCAGTGACCAGTAACAATGCTGCCACAGAAACAAAGTATTGCTGGAAAAGTGGGAGCAACTATCATTTTCACCTTTGAAAAAGGTGTCCAGCCGTGGAATGGTGAGCTAGGAAATTCTGGTGACTCATGAGACGGGTGGCTAGGCTCTCTAGACGGCCCCGCTTGGGGTCCTTGTGGGTTGTTGTCAGGAGATTTGAGCATGAAGTCTCTGAGGGGGTTCCTACTGGATCCCGTTCCACCCCTCTCTGCTCTGTCCTGGGGTGGTGGCGGCATGATACTGGGAACATCTAGAACATGAGGGAGACACGACTCAATCTACAACTGAGAATTGCAAATGTTTAGTTTGTTTGAGAGATGGAACAGTGGTAAAATGAATAAATACATAGGGTAAAAATAAGCCATAATAAGCCAAGAGACTATAAAAATTCTGCCTAAAATACATCAAAAACAACTACAGGGCAGGCATGCACTTTAAAGATTAAAAAAGGACACACAGTTGTTTAAAGTAGTAGTAGCAGTAGTGACATATACAAATATTGAACAACACTACAAACAAGCAGGACAATGGGATGGTATAAGCAAAAAGAGTTTAGTGCTGACATGTATATGTGTTAATCATCCACTGTTTAATTTGTTCCTGAAAGATGTTAACATGTCTGATGTGAGTTGGAATTATATTCCACTCTGCTGAACCTCTGACAGACCAGGAGCCGTATTCACAAAGCTTCCAATACAAAGAGTTGCTCCTAGTGATGAAATTTTAAGACCATTCTTAGAGTTGTGACGTTTTCTTAGAATTCTCCCCTAAAAAGTTAAGACTAGATCTAGTGAGTAAATGAAATGCTACAGATTAGTTTATGCAGGGATAATATGTGTGGCTGATCTCAGTAGGGATATACACACATTTCCCACCTAACGCTTCAATGCCAGAAATAACATGCTATCAATACTAAGATATTTGGAAAACTGGAAAAACCCAACAGTGCAGCAGTGATGATTTGGGTCTGTCTAAACCGTCCATCAGCAGATTGACCACATCAACAATGACAACACTTTCACAGTCAGCAGTTCATTTCATTTACACTGGGTGTCCACACTTTGAAGGCTCACAAATGGGTGTGTCTCTGACAGCCAATCACATCTGTTAAGACAATGTGTCACGCCTAGCAACAGGGTCAACCACACCTCCTCACTGGGATAAAAGTTTCTGTCCCTTCCTTTCTTAGAGTAGCTTTGAGAACTTTACTATCTCACTCCTAAGCTATGACTCCTTACTAAAAAAAATAGTAGGAGCTCTGTGAGAGTGTTCTCAGTGTGTTTGTGCATCCAGCTCCTGGTTTGACTGGCTAAAGGCACTTTTCCACAATTGAATAGTGCAATCTTCTCTTATAGACACTTAGTGACACCTTTAGTGTATAGGCTACAAGTGGTGGCAGAGCTAGGTCAAGGGTCCATTTGTTTGTTGTTTTAATAGACTGAGATAAGCTGTAAAATCCTGTACCAAGGCTCAGTTTTCATACCCAGGTGTCCAGAGCCTGGCTGTCCATCCCAGCGGCCCAGCTGGGAGAATATCTCCTCCATCTCCCTGAGCACCTGGCCAAACACTGGAGGCTCCTGGATCCTCATCCCGTCGGGGCCAAAGCTGAAGCCAAACCTCAAAGCACTGTCAAAGGGGTCCTGCTGATCCCCCCGGCACCCATCATAGTAAAATCCATCTTCATCACCATCATCATCATCATCATCGTCGTCATCGTCATCATCATGTGTCATGGCATCGAAGAAGGGGTCCCTGTTACATTACAATAAGGAAAATTAATGAGTAACTATGTCATTCATGTACATTGGTTATTAAATCTTGCTTTAGGTTTGGTACCGTTACGTCAACTGACCAACTGTTACGTCAACAGAGTTTAGTTAAAGCACTCAATCGTATTAATGTCGAGGTCACTCTTTAAAGTCATGCTAAATAAAAAAGCAACCCTGGTGGCAGATGGTGAGGGACCCCTGTGGTCATCCTGGCACAGAAACACTAATCTCCCTACTTAAAGCTGTTTCATTACCTAACTAACCCAACAGCATGCAGTGCAGGTACCAAGTTAGCCAACTTCTGTTAGCTTAGTTTAGCTCAGAGAGGCAGCTGTGTACCTGACTTTGACTCCATAAACTTACCTTCGGCCACGATAATGACCTCCAGGTACCCCGAAGAACCCGCGAAACAAATCAAAAACACTCATTTAACAACAACTTCTGTAGAAAACTAAATCATAACTTTAAAACAGATGCTAATTGCACACATCCGCTGGAGAAAACAAAAGCCTCGGACATCAACAGTGTCGTAAAGTGTTCCAGACACTTCGGTATGACGCAACCAGTCGTAAAGATACATTACCGTACATATCAGAAAAAAGGCGCAGCAGAAATAACAGCACGCTCTATGGGGCATCAGCTAGGATTTTACGTTTGAACCGCTTGTGTTTTAGATGCTAATGTTTGTAATAGAAGAGGTTAAGAGGTATAAAGCAAAGAAAATGGTCCCGCTAATTACCTGTTGTCAATAATGGAAAGTAAAACGCAGATTTGCACAAGTTGAAATACTTAATCTGCCAATATTTTTGCACTCCTGTCTCTGTACATTGCATTTTTATTCTTGATTCTTGGACATCCACTGAAATATATTTTGCACATTCCTGCCTAGCTCATTCATCTTAAACAGTTACAGTATACTTATAAAGTTTCCCCCGATTCTATATGTATGTTTGTCGTCTTTGCACCAAAACACCAAAGTAAATTATTCGTATGTGAAAACCTACTTGACCTACTTTCTGTGAGTACCTCCGTTTTGTTACTCCTACTCTACATCTTCAATGGATTTGTACTTCTACTTAACATTTAACTAACTAACTAACTAACTAACTAACTAACGCAGTTAAACTCAGCTCCATGTCGACCTACTACAATAAAATGCTGCCATTCTGCTGCATGCACTATATTATAGTAATACTACTTATAAACTAAAGGAGCTCATTGCTTCCACCACCACTGCCTGTGGAATTAGGAAGTGTTTGCAAAGTTAAAGCGGACCGCTGTTTCCTAGCAACGGCGTTCTATCAACATGCGGATGTAACGTTTCATCAGTGAGAAAAATTCCAAGGCGCATGATGACGCCACAGTTACCCGGGAAACAGGAGTTTAGCCGTTAGCTGTGAGCAATATATTGCTGACTTTCCCATCAGCAGCGTATGCACTGTGCACTATAAAAACGCTGGCTATGTTATAGTTGTGAAATTAATGACGCAGTGGGTCAATTAGGCATTTCATTATTTATATGGAAGCCTTTTTAGGCCATAAAAGCGGATGTTTACTCCACATCCAGTCAGCTGTTACACTGATTTGTCACCAGAAAAGCAGTGACGCACATGGCTAAAGCTTTCAGTAGGTGTGAATAGAAATACCAACTAAATACCGGTAAAAATCTAAAAAGATTTATTTTGAAAGCAATGTCAATTCATTAAATTTTATTATATATCTCATGAAACTGCACAGTTAATTTCTTTTGCCAAATCATCCCGTTTAAAAGTTTTTTTAATTTTTTTTTTTTTTAAGAAATTGTTATCTACCATACCTCACTATAACCAGCTATATGGAGATTTGTCGACTATACGATTTAAAATGCCATTTAAAACTTTTTTTTTTTTATTGTTCAATTTCAGTCCGTCACTTAGCTTTTTGACAAAATGATTTTTTTTTTTTTTTTTTTCCAAAATTAAGTTCAAGTATCTACACCTAGCTTTACACTATCTGTAAAGTACCAAGTAACTTAATTAAATGTAATGGATTTAAAAAGCAAAGAAATGTGGTAAAATATAAATAAAAATGGCACAAAATAGAAGAGTATACCTACTTGAGTAAATGTGCTCAGCTTCCCAACACTTCTTTCCGCTTTACGTCTGATAATTTAAAGCCTAAGCTACAGAAACTCAGGAGGAAAACAGTACGTTAATATCCTGTCAGGAAAAGCAGCATGGTTGTGTGTTGACATGACTTATTAGAATGTAAAGATATTTAGCTGCAGCTATCACAAACTGTAAATTAGGTTGTTCAGATGCAAAAGTGCATTTAAATCTTGTAAACAACAAAGATGAAACAAAGCAAATGCCTGGAGATGTGCTGTGTTTGGAGTTTAATTTGGCACTACTGATCCCCTGGAGTCTGTTAGATAACTCCGGCTTAAAAGAGACACCAACCCTTCAGCCTCTGACTCAGATGGTTTCAGTCATGCCAAACACTTGATTGCACAAGCTTCTTACACTGTTGGTCAATTCATTGTTCCCCTGATATCAAGTATCAGCGACTTTGATGTTTTTAACTGTCAGATGAATTAAGGCCAGCCTTCAGCGACACAAACACTGAGCGTCACTGTTGAACTGTCGGAAGATGAGATGCTGCTGCATTTACAAGCCACATGAGAAACAAATATAGTTTCTTAAAAGACATTCACATCCAAAATGATGAAAATGTCTTTTTCTTGTTTATTTACTTAATATTTATATATTTTTACAAAATAAAAAAAATATATGAAACAAAAAGCTAACAAGTCTGCAAGGATTCGAGAAGGAAAGGGAGAAAGCCATCGAACAAACAGGAACTACAGTACTTGTGTTTTTTTTTATATATGTACAAGACAAGTTTATCCATTTAAATTGTTTTTAAAACGCACAGTACAAAAAGAAAAAATAAATCACTGACAAAAAACCCATAGTACAATTCTGTCCATCAGTATTCAATGCTGCAGATTTCCTTACAATGGGGGACAGGTGGTGGAGCAGGGAGGAGGTGGGGGGGCCTAAGAAACAAACAAAATAAAACACACTGGAAGGCAGACTGGGTGTGTATTGGTCTTGGAAATCATCGAACATCTCTTGCAGAATAGATGGGGCCTTTATGCAACATATTTATAAGTCATGGAACAGTTACTGTACAAGTGTTGGATAATGAAAAAATTCTGTGCTAGGCAAAAAAAACAAAGCACAGTACACAACCACGGCCCCCGTGTGTACAAACATGCACGCAGTCACATGACAAACACACTTTCCTCACAGTCCAAGCCAGTGAGCTCGCTTATATGTCTTTATATATAATATATCTATATTTGGTAAAAAATAAACTTCACAACTCTACCAATTTAGAGAATTGTTTCTTCAAACTTAAAATTACATAAAAAAACAAACATTTAACGGCAATTAAGCAAATTGTGTTTGGGTACTTTGTGTGGGGGAAAGAAGTTTCCATCAAAATTAAGGAGTGGGGAGTTGAGGGTGAGAAATACAAAACCAGCCTGTCCCCCCACCTTCAGATATTACTTCATTCCTCCCCATCTGCAAGAAAAAAAGAGGGAGGGGGG